CCCCCCCCCCCCCCCCCAATTCTGTGGCAGAACTGTAATAAACAAAATCATCATCCATGTAAGTTGCTCCATCTCTCGCTGTCCCAGTGACATCTTCTCATATGTGCTGGATCCATTTTCACCATATAGGAGCCTAAGTGATGTGAGCAAGGAAAGGAAAAAGAATTTCTTCTTAAAAAGAGAATCAGCCAAGGGGTGAATTTCCTTCCTAAACAGCATAGGAAATCAAGAGAAAGAAGAAAACAAATCTCATATCTTTAATGGGAGATTGAATCTCATGGATTTTGAGAGATTATGGGAGCAATTAATTCTTTCCCAAACTTGTCATAATCTTCCTTATTTCTCCCTCAACCATCTCTACAATTAATTAAGATCTTCTCTATTTAAAAAGAAAGATCATATCTATCATATTTTAGTAAACAATTCTTTTAATTGTTGTAAGTTTTCTATTCTATTTTACATTTATTTTTCTATGTAACTTTGCCATTAATTTAGGAGATTGTTTTTCTTATTATTTACATGACCTACACTATAAATAAGTTATCAATTCACAGTTGTAATAATTGAAGTTTTGATAATAATAAAAATACAAAGTCTAGTTTCAACTAGTGAAGTTTTCTTCAATCTTCTTGTTGAGTAGAGAATTAGTGTTTACTTATTAAAGTAACTTGTAGTTATTTTATCAATTTCTTTCTTGAATTAATTTTAGGTTATCAAGGTTTTTCTTGTAGCATTCTAATTAATTCATTTTTCATTCCCCTATTGAGTGCAGGTCAATTAAGGAGGGTTCACTTAAGTATTTTAAGTTTCTGATTACTGATGTATATGCGGGGTTTTGGATTCTACTGTTGATTCCGAGTTCCGCATCATTTAGTATCAGAGTTTAGGCTCAATGGAAATCTTACTATTTTGCATCTTTTATCCTTGCATATTTTTTTTATTCTTCATATTTAAAAAAAAATACCTTGCATCATTTCTTACATAAAAAAAAATTCATATCCGTATTGTGTTTCGTGCACTTTAGGTTTTTTTTTTTTATTGTGTTTTTGTTCCATTGCATTTCTAAGTAGATAATTGCACCATAGTTATGTAGTATCATATATAAAACACACACTATCTTCATCTGTGTGTTTAAATTGTTATTTTTAGAATTGTTGTACCACTTTCTTTCCCTAAGATTTTTTGAAGTGTCGTAAACAAAACTTGATTATCTTGATTTAAGCAAATTCAATTCTAACATTCAATTTGAAGGAAGGAAGTTGAGTAAAATATAAAGAGTGAAACACGTGAGAGAGTGTTATTTTCATTACTAACAATTCCTTGCAGATTTTCAATGACCTTATACAACATCACATCCGATGACCTTTTCTCAAATAAAGTAGAATTGGTGAAACCCTGATCTAAGAAGTGTGTGATTTGACGACGAATCGTTTTCTAAGAGGGAGAGGATGATGGGAGCAAGGAAAAGGAAAATAATTTATTCTTACATTGAGACTTAGCCAAGGGCTAAATTCCATACTAATCCGCATAGGAAATCAATAGAAAGAAGGCATGGGAGATTGAATCTCATGGATTTTAGAAAATTATGGGA